CGCTGCGCCGCGGCGCTCGTCGTCAGCGACGCGGCGGTCCGCTGCGACGAAGACGGCCCCTGCGTCGCGTCCGTGGCCGTGGACTGCGCGGCGAGCCACGCGGGGCTGCCCTGCAAGTCCGCGCGCGCGCTCGAGGCGTCGCTCGCGGCCGCGCCGCGCGCGCGGTGGCACGTCCGCGTCATGGACGACACCTACGTCGACGTCGACGCCCTCGCCTGGCACCTCGGCGACCTCGACGACGCGCAGCCCTGGTACGTCGGCGACACCGTCGCCGTGCCGCGCGAGGGCGCGGGCCGCGCGGACCAGGGCAGCGCGAGAGAGCGAAATTCCCAACTTCAAAGGCTCCGATCTCGGCCACTTTCCACTCGTTTCGGCTGATTTTTGGACGAGCGATCATCTCTCGGAACGGTCTCGAAGCGTGGATGCTTTTTCCGGAACGCGCGCGCGCGGAACACTCACGTTGAAGCGACGTTGAATCACCCTTTTGCCGCCCAGGCGCGGACGGCGCGACGTTCCGCGTCGCGCTCGGCGGCGCGGGCTGGGCGCTGAGCGGGCCCGCGGCGGCGCTCGCGGCGGCGCACCTCGACCTCTACTTTTCGCTGGCGAGCGGCATGGTGCGCGCCTCCGACGGCGGCCGCGAGTGGGCCCTGCCCGCGTCCCGTCTCGGGCGGGCGCTCGCCGACGCGGGCCGCGGCATGCGCCTCGACAGCCACATCGCCGACGACGTCTTCTTCGGCACGTTCATGGCCGCGCTGGGCGTCGGCGCCGCGGGCCCGCGGGGCTTCACGCAGGCGCCCGTCGACGCGCGCGGCGGCGTGCCGCCGTGCGGCCCGGCGGCCGCGGCGGCCGCGGAATCGCGCGGCCCGGACGACGCGGACTGCGGCGACCCGCAGCGGCACCACGACCTCGGCGCCGTCTGGCTGAGCGACCCGGCGACGGGCGCGCTCGTCGAGGTCGACGACCTCGTCGCCGCGGGCTCGTGCCGGCGGCCGTTCGCGCGGCCCGCCGTCGTGCACCTCGGCGACGAGATCGGCGGCTTCAACAACGCGCGGTGGCGGGGCCAGTTCGGCGACCTCCACCGCGCGCTGGCCGACGGCACGGCGGTCGTCGCGACCTACGAACCGTCGCCCCTCCACTACTGGCGCCTCTGCGCCGTCGACGCCGCGCGCGCGACGCCGCGATCGGACGCG